TTGTTTGCATAGCATTGTTTGTTCATTTTTAAGTCCAATTAAAAATTGAAAATCACATTGAAAAGCTGCTTCCGTATCTTGCAGACAGAAATAGTAGGCATCGAAAAAGTGATGAACTTTTTTGTACTTTTGGCGACATTTTCCAATGAAGGTCGTGATCGTATACCCAGAATTTAAAATCGAATTGCTTTTTATTCCTGACGAAGCTCATACATATTTGTTGATAGTATTTGTCAGCAAAAATTATTTCGTTTTGGACGGGCTTGCAAAAAAAGTAGGCTCGAAAAAGAGCTTCACATTTGGTTTATTCACAAACGCCGTTACATAACTACTGCTTCAGAGGCAAGGAGGATATATACATACTTGTATATATATATATATATATATATATATATATATATATATATATATATATATATATATATATATATATATTGCCTGATGGGACTTAAGCCGCAGCTCAAAGTGATATGTTTGTTTTGTTTTTAAAAAGACATCTTTATTTTTCCAATTTTTAATTCTGCTTCAGGCAATAAACGAAAAATATGAAATATGTATGCAAAACATTTCTAAAGCATGTTAAAATTTTGCTATACTTGTACAAAACAATTTCTTATCTCCAAAGAAATTTGTTTTACAATGGATTACATATTATAATGTTTTTTCTTCAAAATATGCAATCTGCAAAAAAAAAAAAAAAAACAAGAAAAGTATGCTAAAGTCGAGCAAGATCAACTCTTAAATACCCTGTACCTCCAACCAAAAACGATAAAATTAAAAAAAAAATTCTTTTAATAATTACAAAAAATTATATTAATTAATTAAATGTTCATCTACAGTTTCAACAGCATACATTTACATCAGAATCGTGTCTCTGCGTGTTTATATGCGTGTACGTATGCAGCACAAAGTTGAACCCAAGCAGCAACAACAACAACAGCTGCGGGCAGCGCTGCCGGACAGACGGACGGACGGACATGGCTATATCGACTCGGCTTGCCATCCTGATCAAGAATATATACACTTTGTGGGGTCTGACACGCCTCCTTCTGTGTGTTACATACATTCGCACAAAACTAGTATAGCCCTTCACCCTTTGGGTACAGGCTATAAAAAAGGCTTACCTTAAAATGGGGATTATTTAGAAAAACTAATGCAGTTTTTCTGTTTGGAACTACGATTTATTTGTAGAAATGGGTATTTATTCGAAACAATTTGTATATTCCTGAGTATAAATATTATTATTTATAGTAAGCTGAAAGCTGGATTTTCTTCTTTCTCAACTCTCTGCAAATCTTCAGTGCTCCCCACTTATAGATACGAAGGGCGCAGTAAAATCAAATAAGATTCCAAAATGAAATCCAAGTCGGCAGCCGTATGTGCTTTTGAAGCTGCAAAACAAACTGGATTACGTGTTTGCCGTGTTCGATACAAACCCAATTCTTTGATGCTCACTCTTACACATGTAAATATATCGTATGTATGTATGTATGTGTGTCTGTCTGTCTGTCTGCGCTTCGATTGCATGTGCTGGCGTAATTAATTCGAAACGGAGAAAACTTCTTTGGCATGCGACACTTAATTGAGAGGAAAGCTGAATATGATACGTTTAATTGGACGCGCAGCCTTAATTAGTTCGACTACAAAGTGCAAAGCACGCCTGATTATCGATAAGCAGATCAAACAAACACTCATTATGTTTGCAGGTGTGTACAATTGACGAGCGAATGGCAATTAGTTTTCGAAATGTGCGCCAACTCGAATTCGCAATTTTTAATTCAAAAACACACGCACATGGCCACTAATCAGTCTTTGGCATTTCTAAATTTGATTTATACGAGAATATTGAATTCACGCTTCGATTGAATTTTGTATTTAAAGCTCATTTTCATAAACGTTGCGCCTGTTGCCTAAATATCTGAACTTGCAAATACATTTAACAAATGTAAATAATAATGTATGCTATTTATATATAATACAGGTTTAGATCTATATTGTTATATGTATATATGTATATATTTATTAGGCTTCGAGGAGAGCTTACAAATCACTTCAGTCCAAAATGTATTGTGAGCTTCTATGATTAGACGTAACATAATTCTTAATAGTGTTGTTAAATTAAAAAGAACGAAATCTTTCTTCACACATATTTTCCTTGTGATTTACGACATCTGATATTTAAGAACAGAAGCGAAATAACTCTTTCTAACAAACAAACAAAGATCTTTAGAGAATTTAAGAAACATAAATTTGGAATAATCGATGTAAATATAGAGGGTAATATTGTCAGAACATTTTAAAGACGTTTAAAATAGTTTGTTTAACAATATATGAAATATAACGAAATCTTTTCATTCAATAATATTATTTACAATACATCATTTTTATTTAAGGCTTTATTAATACGAGAATAACAGCAATGCATAAACGGGCATTCTCATTTTATTAGAATTACGAATATGAATACGATAAATATAATTCCCTACTTGATTCCCTACATATAACAACAACTGCCCTTTGTTAAACACTCTATTGTTTATATTCAGACGAGCTCAAAACTTCACAAAAGAACAAACGAAAACGAGGCTTAGTCTTCTATTTAGGTTCCATATTTTCTAAAAATACTCACCTACACACAACATGTATGCAAAACATGCTCGTACATAATACATTTTTAATGCGTTTTACACTACGAAAGCACCTCGACTTGTCGTACATGCGCCTTTTATTGTCAAGCATATGTTCAAGCATACATGTTTGTATGGAAGTATGAGTCTGCACAGGCAGATACACGAAGGAATGTATACAGGTTGGGCTAATGTAAGTGTATCTTAAATTACACACATGCCCACATTAATTTCCACACAAGGTGCAAAGAGGCCCAAAAGACAGCAGTAAGTACAAACATATACATGCGTGTGGCTATGTGAGTATGTGCGTGAGAGAGATACAGTGCGTGTGAATGAGAAGTGAAAGTGTGACAATGGCCAACAGGAAAATGCCAAAGCCTGCATAATGCCAAATGGCAATGCGCTCAGGCGCACACAGTAACTTTAGGCTTCGCAGTCGCCGTTGGCGTCGACGACGGCGTCGACATCGCAATTGCCTGTTGAATGTCAAAAGTCACTTTAGCCGCCGGGCTGAGTTCATGCACTGAACAAAAATATGGCACAATGCATTAGCGTTAAATAAAATGCTCATGCTCTACTCTCAAAACATAGATTAAAACGAAACCTATATTTTTATTCTAAGCACTAAAGCTTGAGCGCTTCTTATGACATGCTCAGCTCACATAGCCCATTATTCACTATTAATAAACTCATTCAGTTAAATGTACGCTTTTAAGTAATAAAGCATGTTTCTTTTGTTGCGATTGGCTTTCATTTTGTTGTGAAACCCATACAGAGCAGTATTTGTATTTATAAACAACAAAATGGCAACGACACTGCACCCAAGGGAGTGGGTTGATGGAAAAAGATTTCAATCATTTACTTTATCGAAGTTGTCTTGTAAATTCAATGCATATTTGAAGGACTTAAGCACGTCATATTTTGAGAAAAAAAAGGCATTAGCTGAAGAACCGTCGAATTACGTACTGAGTTTTTTTTTTTGCTTTTCACCTCGCCCTGAATGTGTATTAAAATGTACTTCTTACATTCGCTTAATACCAACAAACTTTTCCGAATTATAAACAATCATAAATTAAACTTATGTTTGGTTTTAAATTCTAATTGAGAAACTCTTACCAGGATATTGTTATACTACTACTATGTATGTACTTTGAAAAATTATTTTGTTAATATTTTTTCTCGTGCGCGTTTGCCAATCGCACCCACAACCTCAGGCACGCATACACCAGCTTACACACAATAAAAGCTATAATAATAATGGGGTGTGCGGATGTGTTTGTGTTGCCAAAGGGCAGCGTAACAAGCAGTGCGGCAGCAAGCAGCGCAGCCAGTGACGTTACAATGGAAAAGTGTTGCCTGCTTTTGAGGGCACACAAATGATTTTCCAAAGCGTGCACTCTGCGGTGTCTGTGCCAATATAATGTAATTTACTGACAATTTGGTTACAGCTAATTGACTTTTAATGCCCAAAAACCTATGTCGCTACCCACACTCGCAGCTGCATCCCTTTTTACCTTTGACGTACACACACACACACACACACATGTATTTCAAAATATTAAGTAAAGTATTTTGGCATCAATTATATTTCAAACCAGATACACACACACACGCATCAAACAGACACCCACTCTTGCATACCCTATTTTGTTTATGATGCGAGTGCGTTGACGGCGTCTTTTGTGCCGCCATTTTGCCATTTGGCGAGGCAATGTCATCTTGACATTTGCCACCTAATGTTGTAAAATGCTATTTTAAGCCATCTGTGGGGGTCGTATTTGTAATACACACATACATACAAATGTAGCCATATGTTTGGATATATATATGTGTGTACGTATATGTATGTGTGTGCGCGTGCAAGTGTCGCCAAATGGCGAAGCAGCACGAAATCAGCAACAGCCTGAAAGTATGCTGTGATTACGGCCACCACACACTCGCAGACCTCACACTGAAATGTCTTTATTGAGAGAACAAACTACAACAGTGACAACAACATTGCCTCTAAAAAAAGCCCATAAGCCGTTATATTTGCTGTGCTGCCGCAAAAAAGGAGAAATAAAGATAAATATGGAAGGAAAGGTACAGACAACTCTCAAAGAATTGGACTCGTCCATGGGAATAATCCTAAAGCCTTTCCCGCCGAACTTTTTTAACGTATCTGCATTGCCCCCTACTGAGTTAGTTTTTATGTGTAAACGAAACAATATGTATGTCTAAGCATACCATATACGTTATGATTCCTGAAATATGTTTGTGCGAAAATAAGATTTAAAAACTATATCAGCTTTACGGTAAGAATCAATGAAACTTAGTAACAACTTAGGGCTCTTTTCTTATATTCTCATAAAACATCACACCCTAAACAAAATATTATACTCGTGGGAAACCGAAAATGAATGCTCTAGAGAACAAAGGCACCATCTTTGTGTGGCGGTAAGTTTTGCAGAATACCTATCTACAAATGAGGCATAAATCTCCGAGCAAAGTCTCTATTATATAGGACTATTGACAATTGCGTTAGGCGCCATTTGCGCTTTGATATCTCCGATACGTTTTACGATCTACAAATGCCTGGGCTTCATATATAAGGTATCGATTAATCATAGCGCCATCACCTATGGGGACAGCCCTTTGTCCCCAGTTTCGAAACGTCGCCTGGGCATGGTTAAACGCAAGACCCTTGTGCTGGACATGGATGAGACGCTTATAACGACAGTGTTGGATCGCAATGACACTGGTATGGAGCCCTTGCCAGAAATACCATATGACTACAGTTTTTATCTGGAGGACTATGATTACACGTTTTACGTTTACAAGCGCCCTTATGTCGACCTGTTCCTAGAAAAGGTCTCCAAGTGGTACGATGTAACAATCTATACTGCAGCTTCCCAGGGCTACGCCGAGCCCGTGCTTGACTTTTTGGATGCCGGCCGTGGAATATTGAGGAAACGACTGTATCGCCAGCACTGTATCGATGTAATGGGACTGCGGGGCAAGTACGTTTCCCTGGCAAACAGCGACCTTGCCAATGTGTTGCTTGTGGACAATTCTGATGTGGAGTGCAGCTTCAATGCTGGAAATTCGGTTCGGATCAGATCCTTTCGAGTCGGTCGCCAGGATGAGGCGCTTCTGAACTTGTTGCCCTTCCTTGACGCACTTCGGTTCACCAGCGATGTGCGCACCGTTTTAGAACGTTGCACTCGCTATGATTGTCTAACCACAGCCATAGAGAGATCGTGTCAAGATAACTCTTTCTGAGCCAACAAATACTCCATCAAAATGTTATTCCTTACTGTTTTCTTTAACTGTTAATTTAATACACTTACCACCTACTACACAATTGGTCTGCTTTGAAGGAATTTAGATAGGCTTCAAAATACAGAAGAAGAGATAAAAGTTTTATTTTCCGAGTGTCTACTGTAAAGACAGGGAATCCCGTTGGCTGGTCGCAAAAAGAGGGACTATGCTGACAGACCGCCCCCAAAAGTGCTTAACAGGCGGGCGTTGGTTCTTTCTTCTCCGCTCAACAAAGCAACAACTAAAATTGAAAAGCAGCGAGAAGGGCAAACAAAATTTGTAGCTGGAGAAAAAGCTGACGATGTGGCACAGAGGACACAAAAAAGGATGCTGGATAGCGACAGCAATAACAACTAAAGGCAAACTACAACAAACACAACGCCACAAAAATCAATTTCTGTGTCAATTTTTGTTGCTGCTGCTTCATTTTGTGTATGTGTGTGTGTCTACCTAAACGAAGGAATAACAATAACAACAGCAACTACAAAAGAGTGCGTGGAAAAACCACAAGCTGCTTGTCATGTTTCAAAAAAACTTAAGAGGAAGAAGCAGTCACACTTCATGTCACGACACGCGCAAGTGAAAAAGAAAATTCCTGGACTGTCCTTCTCTTCATCCCACACAAATCTGCACTACCTCAGTAGCTCCCGTTTCCCTTTCACATATTTTATTAAAAAAAAAACTATAACGAATTATCGACAAGTATGGCTTAACAATTTTGATTATTATTATTATTCATGTAAGTTGGTTTGCTCAAAATCTATGACTACATAAGTAACAGACGGAAGAGAAGGTCTTATTCGAACTATACCTTCTTGATTTACTATCAAGAAAGCATATAGTATAGAGTCAAAGACATTAACAAAGCTCCTTTTAAACGATCAATATTTAACCGACTTCAAAAAAGGAATAGGTTATCAATTCGTGTGTATTTTTTGTTTTTTTTTTGGATTCTTTGATGATTCTTGTACCATTTTAAAGCTGGTGCTTTCTGAATGGTCCTATTTCAATTTAGGCCAGTTCCGACAATGGCATCCATGAGGGAACCATCTAATTCTTAAAACATACAAAATGTTCATGGGTTTCGAATATAATGCGACTCAAAAAATAGCAATAATTTTTGTTTCTTTAACTTACTTTTGTTAGAAACATTTTTTTACTTAATGCAACTTTATCCAATTATTTGGCGTGCGTCTAGAACATACGATTCGAATTTAAATTTCTATTTACTGAGAACTTCTTTAGATGGCAGTTTATTTTTCCATTTAATTCATTCCATGAGCCCCAACTAATTGAAAAGATAAAGAAAATAGCTTAGAAATCAGCAATTGTCTTCACACAATACACTGTAAATGCGCATACGCCCCGTTGTCGTAACTAAAATTACTAACAAATTTGCGCTGTGCGTATTCTGCAATTTACTTTTATGCCCATCGTTCTCTTTGTCGTTGTCGTTATTTTTACTGCTACTTTCTTGCTCGTATTGTTGCTATTGATGTTGTTGGTGGTGGTGTTGTCTTCGCCTGTCCTTGTGTTCTCCTGTTGTTACGCACATTTATTGTATACGCGTAGTATTGGATGCAATTGCAATTGCCAACCACCCATTTGTTGTTGTCCCGACGCGCAATTTACAGCCCAACAATCTTCAAAAGTGTTCCCACCACTCACAACCAGTCACTTGCTTTCATCTGTCAGGCCTGCTCGTATTTCCATCACAATTTCAATTTTGTAGTCCCACTCCCGCGAGTACACAATTTGTTTGACTTACGTCTGTTTCAAAGTGTTTCCGAAACGTTTCTATTTTATATCATATGAATTTTAATTCAAATTGAAAACGGTTTACTCTTACTGAGGTCATACACTCAAAGAATTAAAAAAGGTAAGAAAATATTAATAGAAATATTTTTCTTTATCGCAAAATATGTAGGTGAATTGCTAAAACATATTGTGGGTTTGCTTACAATTTATATTTCAAAGTAAAGCCTCCACATAAAATTATATATTTAAATATGCACTAGAGCAGAAAGTTTCCCCAATTTAATGAGAATTAATGTGCAACGAAAATTATGGTGACCATTAGTTATTTATAAGACTCCTCACGTGCACGGCAATTGACGCTAGTGACGAAATTTCTTAATCTTAATTTATGGAAATGCACAAAATTTATGCTGGCGCTCATTGCCTTTAAAAGATCGGGGAATCTGTGCAACGTTATAATTTTTATAAATGAATTGTCTCTCATGCGCTCAGTTCCTTTTTGAGGAAGAAAAGAAAGAACAGACAAATTCACACTAGTGATGCTTTTTTCTATTATTCGTTCTGCTTTTGATAATATTCTACATTTTTGATAAATACTTGTACTGGCTTCAATCATACAACAATTTAGTCAGAGTATGCCATAGTTGTGTGCAACCAACTGTGGCATTTTCATTTCTATATTATTTGATTTCAACGGGCAGTGGTATGTGAATGTCTGCGTGTTTGTTTTCAATCTGATTTGGCATTTGTGCAAATGAACGACCACTGGCATCAATGCCATCGCTTTCATTATTTTCGACTGCCACGAGCTGTGAGCGCGCATTCGCTTTGATTTTTGAATCCTCCGCCTCGCCCATGCAGCCTCTCTCTGACAGGTCAGACTCGAAGCCATAGCCAAACCACATAACCACCCACCCAGCCATACAAGTATATATACTCTCTAAATTTATATTGACATTGCCTATATTTATAGTACATTTCACCTGTCTTTTTGAGCCACCATCGTTGTTGTTTCACGTCTCTCCAGTGCCTGGCGAAAAAAAAACACGACGAAATCACTTACGAAATTAAATTTTCTGGCTCTTGACAAGCCCGACCTTCGCGTTTGCTCTCCTGCTGGCGTTTCACAGCCTTCTGTTCCCACATATTCAGTCTCGTAAACGCGTCCCTGCTCGTACTTTGTTGCCTTGTCAGCCTATCTGTCTTTCATTATCATCATCAATTGTGAATTTTAATTGCTTGTGTCTACGAACAGCAGCCTTCGCTATCGAATTTCAAATGAAACACATTTTATTTATAATGTTCATCGATATACTTCGTTGCTTTCCACATGCCCTTTCCTCAAATTAAAGGGTCCATTATTTTTCCTACGGAAACTTCATAGATTTCATAACTATCGCGACTTGGCGACTTTAGTTTATGAAGCACGAACAAAACACGCTTTAGTTATGATATTTTTAATACAGTTTTAAACAACATTTGTGTTGCAGAAGAAGTTGTTAGGAGTGATTCAGTTGTTAGATATATTTTTGACAGTCTGTGATATATTTTAGGTGCAATCTGCTTATTTCGTAGAAATGGTTAGGCAGGCATTGTTGCTAGTCGAAAAAGAACTCTCCTCGATTTTCGTGCAACAACGAATTAGTTTTTTTATATTTCGAGGAAGGAACTTTCGTATGTAAAACAAAACATAGGCACATAAAAACGTCGCTGATTTACCAACTGATTTAACAACAAATAACCAGAGATCGTTGTATCATCGTATCGGTATTCGTGAGATTGCTTAGCATCTCGTTCATATCGGCAGAATACGTGTACATGTAGATTGAAATGCGTCGTGGCCCGGCATGTCACAAAAGTGTTGATTTTTTTGCCAAAAAGGACATCGTGTGCCAAAGAAGATGCCTTTGAACATTGTAGAAGCTCCCAGCCCTCATAAAGCCTATAGTTAGTTACTGGGGACGAATCGTGGGTTCATAAAAACAATTTGCCAAGAAAAAAACTCTTTTGGGTGGCACGAAAAAAAAGAACCATTGAGATCATCAAACAAAATTCCTCACACGATGACATATGTGCATAGGATCCATCTTCTTGATAACAACCTATTCTTCAATAATATCTAATAACGACATCATGTTTTTCAAGAGACATTATCTGATTTCCAACCAGATTTAATCAGACACATTAAAAGCCCTAACAGAATAGAATGAATATAAATGGAAAAACAGATATTCAGCGTTCTTTAGTGCTAAGAGGAGGAAACTTTGTTTTCTACATACAAATTCCATTCCTTTATTTTATCAAACTTCAGACAAATAAAGATGAATCTAAACATGACCTCTTCTCAGACCCAAATCAAGAACTCTACATGGTGACAAACATGAAAATCTGTTTCAAAGTACGAGTAGCTTTAGGGAAGAAAGTTTTTCTTTCGAAAAGAGAAGGAAGAGCTCCTGACTTCGTCGCGGCCAAAGATAACTTTTCAGATCTTCTTTTCATTCTTTATTTGTTGCCATTTACTCCTATGTTGTTTTCTTTGTTGCTGTTGTTGTTTTTGTTTCTGTGGCTGCTTCCTCTGCACTGCTGTTTGTCTTAGGCCCATTGCATTAACGAGCTTGAGATACAAAAACATGTCTTTGACATATTAATAAATTATATTTGAGTATGCTCGTGGGTATTTTATCTTATTCGAGCAAATGCTCGCGCATTTTTGCCTTCGCAATGCAGACAACAACAACAACAATAATAACAACAACAACAGCAACAACTCATGTGTGTGTACAAAACAAAATTTGTTTTTGTGTACATACATTGTATTGTATTTGCTTACAGGTCGTCGTCATCGTCGTCGCCGTCGCCGTCTCGTGCATTTCACTAATTTCTTTAAATTTGCTCACGTTGCCAAAAGCATTTTATGTAAATCATTTAAATTATTCTCGTTTCGCTTTTTCATTCCGCTTTGCTCATAACGACGCGACAACAGAAACAAGAGGAAGAAATCACATTATTTAGATTAAATGTTAACAAAAATAAATCGTATAAATTGCTTACAAAAAAAAAAAAACAAAATAAGTAAATGTTGTAGTTGAGCCAAAAAAAAATAAAAACAAAATTTTCTTTGTCAAATTTTCTAAGGAAGCACTTCAAAAACAAAATAAGCTGATCCGAGTTGAGATGCCACTCCATATGCTGCGATATACAGTATGTTAAGAGAGTGTTGATACACGCGTTATTTTTAGAGAAGCTTGGAAACAATTAGAAATCATTTCTTTTCAATGTG